GAAGACTTTCCATAGAAAGGGCGTTTCTTGGGTGACATAATCACCTGTATCACTAAACAATAATTTGCAATTCACAAAATTACTAAATCACTTAGTCTATTTAGTCCTATTTAAAGAAAACTGTTTTTGGAAATACTGAATTGACAGCAAGGTGATCTGAATGTCTCCCGCCATAACGCTTTCTATGTGCCAAACGTGCTTATGTTTGTATGTTTATTACAAAAAAAAACCCAGTGGCACAGCGGTATGTCTGCGGACTTACAACGCTAGAAACCGGGTTTCGATACCCCTGGTGGGCAGAGCACAGATAGCCCATTGTGTAGCTTTGTGCATAACTTCAAAACAAACAATTATTATAAAAATTTATTACAAATAATTGGCGCAATAATCATTAAATGTCAGAACAACAACAAAATTTTATAAACGAAAACTTCTCGCTGAGCATTGGCTATTATATTGTTACGACGGCGGAAGTACCGCGACACTGGGAGCATGCGCGCTGGAGTTTCTAGAAGGATCATGACTTATCGAGGAACCTCGCGAATGTCCGAGTGTTTGCCAGGCGCCTACTTTTTTAGTATATAAGCCCGGCAAATAAAGCCAGCGATAGATAGATATGCAGATAGATTGAAGATATAGATAATTGAGTCAAGCGAACACTAGGCTCCGTAAGTAAAGTGTGTGAACCACTGTGATTTATAGCGTGTGTTATAAAGGTTGTTAAGTTTAAAGTGACTGTGGAAATTCTGTGTATTCTAAAGTTGTATCGAGAAAGAATAAACTAGTTTTAATTAAGAAAAAACTTGTATCGCTGAAGTTCTTCGGAAAGAATTTATACCGGAAATTAAGGAAATTATCAAATGAGCAGATACGTAACAATACTATTTCCCTGTTAATGTTTCCATCTTCATTAAAAGGCGTAAGATGACAAAAACAAGATCTTGAAGAATCTATCTATCTATATATATAAAAGAGGAAGTTTGTTTATTTGTTTATTTTATTCGCTATAGGAAACCAAATGGTTGAATTTACAAATTTTAAAATAACTTCATAATAACCAGTTTTTTACAAGAAATGTAATGGTGCTATTTATTTTGTATTTGGTATAGTATTTAATGACGAAACTGATAAATTCCACCGAATGAGCTGCAACAATACTGTCACGTGAACAATCAGGTTGCGACGTACAAACATGCGTGGGCAAATTTGCAGTTCTCACTGATAAGGGTTTAATATATATAGGAAAGCGAACGGTTGAATTTACAAATCTTAAAATAGCTTCATAATAACCAGTTTTTTGCAATAAATTTAATGGGGCTACTTATTTTGTATTTGGAGTAGTATTTAATGACGAAATTGACAATTAATGATTATTGCGCCATTTTTTTGTGATAAACATACAACAATATATGCACAACAGAAATTAAATGATGAGATGAAAATGTGTTATAACGGCGCGTAGAAAGAACAACAATAAAATGGACCTACAATATTATTGACTATTTGCAAATAGTAACTATGGGGACGAGGTAACAAAATAGAAATCAAGTCGGCATAGAGAATCCATTTTTCATCACCGGTGACAAACATTGTTCACTCGCATTACGCCCCAGAAGAGACGAAGCAACGTTCACACGTTGGAAACGATGATCATCGTGAGACACCCAAACACCTTCTTTATGGAGTTTTCCCATATTCCTTGTCGAAACGTTGTACATTTACTGTTATGTTAAACTTATATTAAAGTTTTTCTTCATTACCCATTCAAGCCGTCTTCAGCCATTATTAGTCTCAAAGTGGGTTCCTCGTCATCGAATTTGATATTCCTTAGATGTTTACGTATTCTTTCATGAGAGACATGCAATTTCAGGACCATTTCACGAGTGTGTTGCCTTGGATTAGGCTCAACAAGCATCTTCAGAGCATCAATATCAATTCCAACATGTCGGCTCCTACCATCACAGTTTTTAAGGCTAAAGTCACCTGAACGAAATTTGCTGAACCATCGTTGACACTTACGAACGTTAAAAACATTTCCATAAACTTCTTTGATATTCTTTGTGACTACAGAGACGTTATTTCCCTTCATGTATTCAAACAGCATTACATGTCGAATGTGTGCCTCGTCGTGTGCCACCACTATAACAGACTAGAGTATACTAAACTTTACACATTAGATAAGTTACACTAACGTGACGTTTAAGCGGTTCGATTATCTATTAGACGTGATGTACGTTTTATGGGGGTGGTTAATAAAAGTGTTCCTAACGGCGATATTAATTTCTTGACGACCTAATAGTATTGAAGAAAACACAAATAT